AGTGTAACAACTGAGAACCAAATTGCCTTACATACCTACATGTGGTTTTATACCACTGAAGAGAAGATTTTACTCAAATGGGTTTTTGGCTCTTCTCTGGGAGATTTTACTTTTACAAAAGGTTATGATTATTGCTCAAGCCCAGTGGACCGGGTTGTGGGGCAGATGGGAGTCAGCTGCATTAAAAACTCACTACTGACCAAAAAGATCATGAGTTCAAAGCCAGCCTGGGTTGGAGTAAGCTCCCAACCATTTGTCTAGCTTGCTGTCAACCTTTGCAGCCCGAAAGACAGTTGCATCCATCAAGTAGGAAATTTAGGTACCATTTATGCAGGGAGACTAATTTAACAAATTTATGACGCCATAAAAACTTCCAGCAGCATGCAAAAGAATGAGGAAGTACTTCATCGGTGTCCCAAATGGATGGTGAAGCGACAGCTCCCCCGGTGGCCGGAATTCGAAGCATATCCTCAAGAAGCTGGAAAGTTAAATAATGTCATTTTTCTCCAAAAGGGTATGGAGATTCTGGTTTTCCAAAACCAAGTTAATGTAAGCTTGAAATGCAAGGTAGCACAGGCTCCTGCCTTTATCAAGGAGCTGTGTACTGCAATGATTACTCATTCAGAGGGAAGCCTGCCATCTACTGAAACATAGACTCAACTAAAGGGATTTCCCTTCCCAATTCCAATCCCAGCCTGCATATCTAAGGTTGTGTATGTTTCTTCCAGCAATTTTGGATTCGTCAAGCCCCACACATTGCATGGTATGTTCTGCATACAAGTTGAATAGGTCGGGTGAGAGTATACAACCTTGCTGCACGCCTTTCCCAATCTTGAACCAGTCTGTTGTTCTATGACCAGTTCTTACTGTTGCTACTTGGTCCTTATACAGATTCCTCAGGAGAGAGATAAGATGATTTGGTATGCCCAGACCACCAAGAACTTGCCACAATTTATTGTAATCTACACAGTCAAAGGCTTTAGAATAGTCAATAAAACAGAAATGTTTTTCTGAAATGACCTGTCTTCCTCCATTATCCAGATAGTGACAATTTGGTCTCTCGTTCCTCTGCCTTTTCGAAACTCAGCTTGTCCATCTGGCAACTCTCTCTCCGTGTATTGATGGAGTCTTCCTTGCAGGATCTTGAACATCACCTTACTGGCATGAGAAATAAGGGCCACTGTATGAAAATTTGAGCATTCGTTGAGCATTCGTTAGCCCTAAACGGTTCTGGCCCAACTTATCTATCCGAACGTATCTCAGCCTATCAGCCCACCAGGACCCTTAGATCTTCTGGAGAGTCCCTGCTCTCTATCCCACCGGCTTCCCAAGTGCGGCTGGTGGGAACGAGAGACAGGGCCTTTTCTGTGGTGGCCCCTCGGCTTTGGAACACCCTCCCTATAGAGATACGATCAGCCTCTTCGCTGATGGTGTTTCGGAAGAGATTAAAAACATGGTTGTGTAAACAAGCATTCGGTTAGTTTGTTATCACCGAATTTTATGGACTAAGGACTGGTTAATTATGGATGACGAATTCTGGACTGTGATTTTAGTGACGAGATACATGGTATTATTATTGGTGGCCCAATAATTTGTATTGTCTATGTGTTGTTGTTTTAAATTGTATATTGTTTTTAATTGTTGTAAACCGCAATGAGTCGCCGACTTAGGCTGAGATATTAGCGGTATACAAGTGTATTAAATAAATAAATAAATAAATTTCCCTTTTTTGCTATGGGGATATAAGTGGATTTTTTCCCAGTCTGACGGCAATTCTTGTGTTTTCCTTATTTGCTGGCATATGACCTGCATCACCTTGACAGCATCCTCTTTCAAGATTTTAAACATGTGATCTAGCTTTAATCAGGAACACATCAACCTCAACAAAGGGATGGAACGCCTGCTTAGAGAGGTGTCTAGCACCCCCTAACGGAGCTGACGTGGGCTGGCATCATTTGGAAAATATATCTGCAATGCCACTATCCCATCACAGAAAACAATTCATTTCCTTCTTCTAAACTTGCATCTCTGAAAGAGTGAAATTGATTGGTATTTCAATTTATTACGGTGTATAATCTGTAATGCATAAAGCAAATAATAAGGGATGTTTCTGTCCCAGCAATGACTGGACAAAGGTCGGTCAAAGCAGGCTGTTACTGGTGATATCAGGCCTGGGCAAACTTGGACCCTCTGGGTGTTTTGGACTTCAACTCCCACTTTTGAGTTGACACTATTGTCTATATGTGAGTTATATTAATTGAATTGTTTATTTCGCTTATTGCGTGTTGTTTTTATTGATGTGTTGTTGGGCTTGGCCTCATGTAAGCCGCTCCAAGTCCCTTGGGGAGATGGTGGCAGGGTATAAATAAAGTTGTATTATTATTATTATTATTATTATTATTATTATTATTATATATGATATGATCTTGTTAGAGATCACAACCTTTTGTAAAGTATGACCTTCCTGAGAAGAGTTAAAAACTCGCCTGAGTCAACCTTCTCCTTAGTAGTAAATATCCACTAGTATTCATGCAAGGCAATTGGGTTTCTCAGTTGTTAGACTGATATCCCTGGTTATCTCTCTGAACTGATTACTGCAACGCACTGACTAGATTACTGCAACGCACTCTACATGGGGCTACCTTTGAAGACTGTTCAGAAATTACAACTAGTCCAACGGGCGGCAGCCAGATTACTAACTGAAGTGACATACAGGGAGCATACCACCCCCTTGTTGTGCAAGCTCCACTGGCTGCCAGTCCACTTCCGAGCTCAATTCAAAGTGCTAGTTTTGACCTATAAAGCCCTATACAGTTCTGGCCCAGCTTACTTGTCCGAACGCATCTCCCTCTACGTCTCGCCTCACAGTTTAAGATCATCCGGGGAGGCCCTGCTCTCGCTCCTGCCAGTGTCACAAATATGTCTGGCGGGGATGAGAGACAGGGCCTTCTCAGCTGTGGCCCTCCACCTGTGGAATTTGTTTCTCACTGAGGTAAGATCAGCTCTGTCCCTCCTGTCATTTAGGAAGAAATTGAAGTCATGGTTCTGGGACCAGGCTTTTGGACAACAGACATAGATAGCACTTTGGACATGGAATTGGATATGGAATTGACTGGAATGGTGATACTATTAATACTGTTTTTTACTGTTTTAATGAATGTATTACTTATTGCTTTAATTGTTATTATATTGCTCTGTTATACATAGTGGCGTCGAATTGTTGCCAAATGTAAGCCGTCCTGAGTCCCCCTTCAGGGGTTGAGAAGGAACGGGATAGAAATACCGGAAATAAATAAATAGTATTTATTTATTTACTATAGTTGTATACTGCTTTTCTCAGCCCTTGGGAGATTCAAAGCTGTTAACAATAGCTAAATTCAAGGCTCAGAACAACATAAAACAATTTAAACAGTAGCATATTAAACAATGAACTATACAACAATAAACATCTCATTAGCGTCTCATAATTACTGCCCTGAGTCGCCTTCGGGCTGAAATGGGCGGGATAGAAATAATGTAAATAAATAAATAAATAAATAATTAGAATCAGGATCCAGTTTCATCATTCAATTGTTCCATATTCCTATATTCTTTACACTGCCTATTCGAATGCCTGCTTGAACAACCAGGTCTTCACTTTCCTCTGGAATGATAACAAGGAGGGGGTCGATCTAATATCTGTAGGAAGGGTGTTCCACAGCCGAGGGGTCACCACTGAGAAGGCCCTGTCTCTCGTCCCCACTAGACGTACTTGTGACACAGGCAGGACCGAGAGCAGGGTCTCCCCAGACGATCTTAATGTCCTAGTGGGTTCATAGGAGGAGATGCGTTCGGACAGGTAAGTTGGGCCAGAACTGTTTAGGGCTTTATAGGTTAAAACCAGCACTTTGAATTGTGCCTGGTAGCAAACTGGCAGCCAGTGGAGCTGGCGCAACAGAGGAGTTGTATGCTCCCTGAGCGCCACTTCTATTAGTAACCTGGCTGCCATTCGTTGGACCATTTGAAGCTTCCGGACTGTCTTCAAAGGCAACCCCACGTAGAGAGCGTTGCAGTAGTCTATACAGGATGGAACCAGAGTGTGGACTACCGTGGCCAAGTCAGACTTCCCATTGTACAGGTGAAGCTGGTGCACAAGTTTTAACTGTGCAAATGCTCCCCTAGTCACTGCCGAAGTAAATAAATAAATAAATAGTAAATAAATAAAATATGCCAGCGCACAACATATACAGCAGATCTTCAGATGTGTTATTTCAGTTGCCCAAAAGAAACATCTACTCTTCCCATAAAACATATTGCTTTCAAATCACGCTCTCAAAAGACGAAAAATAGGGAATTTAACATAGTTGATTTACTTACAAACTTCATGTATTTAGCCCACCGATACATTGCTTATTGGTTTCATGTTAACTGAATAATACTTCAAAGATATTAGGAGATAGAGTGGAGTGAAATATAAATAAAGTATATTAGTAGTAGTAGTATGGCTTCCAGCTTACAAAACTTCTGATTTTGTTACGATTTCCGAAACTTCCGATTTTCTTACAATTTCCTAAACTTCCAATTTTTTTGCACATGCCTATAACGCAGGTAAACGCAGTACAATCTCTGCTCTAAACACAGACAATGTGGCCAGTCAGCTAACCTAAAGCCAGTCACCAAGTACACCTTGACGCTCTGCACTATGTGAAACTCCTTGTGGTTCCCTAGACTTCATCTCCTCTTCCCTTGTCCTGGAACCATCCACTCCTTCTCTCAAACTTCATCCCATGGAGGCCCCTTGTGATCATGCCATCCTTACTGATAAGTCATGATCAGGCTTCTGCTATTCTTTCTCTGTCTCCCACCAATCTCAACCTCATGTTGTTGTTGTGTGTGAAGAAAGGGCAGAGATGTGGGTGTCTGTGTGGGGAAGGGTGTTGTTGTTTATGCTTCTGTGTGCATGTAACGTGGCATTTTGTTGGAGGAAGGTCTCTCTCTTGAGGGGCGTTGGGTTTCTTTACCTTGCTGCTACACTTTCTGATGGTGGATGTGAGCTCACTCACTACCATGTCCACACACTTCAGACAGGGCTCCTTGTGTTTCTGCACCTGCTTTTTCACTATGGCTTCAAAAGCGAGGTCAGGTGTGAAGAGACCCGTTCTGCACGGCAAAAGGAGCAGGGAGGGAGGGAGAGAAGCGACAAGGAAGAAAGAAAGGAGTGTGAAGCAGACAGAAGAAGAGAGAAAGATCAGGCAGAGCAAAGGAGAAAGAGAGAGAGAAGAGAGTGAAGGGGGAAAGAGAGAAGAGAAAAACACAAGGCAAAAATGAGAAGTGAGACTTTTGGTCCGGCCAATAGGCAAATCTAACCCAGGGAAGCATCACTCAAGGACCCTATGTGCTGCCAAGCATCAGGTGAATTCGGCAGGATGAAGAAAAGATAGAATGCAAAACCGCAAGCCAGGATGTGATCAACAAAATGAATTGATGGGGACACGCAGGGATCCCTTCTCTCTTTCTCCGCAACCCCAGAGTCTATCCCTGGCGGGAAATGCAGGCTGAAAAGGTCAAGCCATTCCGCTTCCTGCTTCAACTCCTCTGCTCTTCCATTTATTATTTCCCTTATGGTTTCTTGCTTCTGATTCCTTGGGCACCACACACCTGTAACTCTTGCAAACGCAACAGAAAGATTAGGGAGAAAACCTACAGACTGGCAATCCTTGTGCTGCTGAACTGCTGACCTGAAGGTCGGCAATTCAGCAGTTTGAATCCGCGGGACAGGGTGAGCTCCCGCTGTTAGCCCTAGCTCCTGCCAACCTAGCAGTTCGAAAACGTTCAAATGTGAGTAGATCAATAGGGAAAAGGCAAAAAAGACACTCCAAACAATTATGTCAGCCACACAACCAGGAGGAAACAACGCAGGCTTAAGAATAGAGAAGCGCACCTCCCCAAGAGCCAAAGATGAGCACCACCTCCAAAGCCAGAAATGAAAGAAGCCTTTGCCTTTGTCTGTGTTTTATGTGTCTCTTTGTATGTGATTGTAAATAAGGTATTGACTGTCTGCCTTTGTCTGATTTATATATACTGTAACCACTCTGAGTCTCCTGCCAATCTAGCAGTTCAAAAACATTCAAATGTGAGTAGAACAATAGGGAAAAGGCAAAAAGACGCTCTAAACAATTATGTCAGCCACACAACCAGGAGGAAACAATGCAGGCTCCTCGGCCTGAAAATGGAGAAGAACCAAAGATGAGCACCACCTCTAAAGCCAGAAATGAAAGGAGAAGCCTTTGCCTTTGCCTGTGTTTTATGTGTCTCTTTGTATGTGATTGTAAATAAGGTATTGACTGTTTGCCTTTGTCTGGTTTACATATACTGTAATCACTCTGAGTCTCCTGCCAACCTAGCAGTTCGAAAACATTCAAATGTGAGTAGATCAATAGGTCCCGCTTCATATACTGGCAAAAAAGACTCCCCAAACAGTCATGTCAGCCACACAACTAGGAAGAAACAATGCAGGCTCCTCAGCTTGAAAATGGAGAAGAGCACCTCCCCCACCTCCAAAGCCGGAAATGAAAGGAGAAGCCTTTGCCTTTGTCTGTGTTTGTGTGTCTCTTTGTATGTGATTGTAAGTAAGGTATTGACTGTTTGCCTTTGTCTGGTTTACATATACTGTAATCCACTCTGAGTCTCTTTGGTGAGAAGGACAGAATATATATAAAATGTATGTACGTATGTATGTATGTGTGTGTGTGTGTGTATTATTATTATTATTATTATTATTATTATTATTATTATTTTGAGGTCTAACCATAGCTTTTCACTTGTAAAGTTCCATATGGAAATTTCTCACATTATCTTATTGCAGATCATGTACTTTCTCTATGCTAGATAATTTTACAAACAAAAACTGATATTCACTACTGTTCGGGTCTGTTATAAAGCCACACCTCTTTACTCAAGGTAAAATGCTGTTTAAGATGGCCTTCTCTGCTTTGGTGCCTGAAATACGGAATATTCCTCCTTTAGAGGCCCAGTTGGCACCAATGATGTTAACATTATGAGACTAAGTGAAAACAGTCACTTACAAAACATTTGCTTACATTGTTTTGAACTGATCGTGATGTTAGAAATGTTTAAATAAAAAAAGTTATGTTCTTCAACAGGCATAACTTTGTATTCTGCCTCCAGAGCCGGAAGTGAAAGGAGAAGCCTTTGCCTTTGTCTGTGTATTTGTGTCTCACTGTATTTCATTGTAACAAGGCATTGAATGTTTGCCTTTGTCTGTTTATATGCTGTATTTCACTCTAAGTCCCCTTAGGGAGGAAGGCAGAACATAAGTAAAGCATTATTATTAATATAATTAATTAATTAACTAATTAAGTCACTCTGTGTATGATTTTCTTATTTGGTTTTCTCTGGCCAAACGCAGAAAAGGCTAAGGAGCTAAAAGATATTGGTAGCCTACTCGTTATGATATTTCCCAAGGCATTAAGCACATGGATGAGATATATAGACATATCTCAAAACCTGAACTTGCTCTGTTGCTACTGTTTTAACTCCTGTCAGAGAATAAGACCAGCTTCTCATTTCCTTGGCAATTTTTTCGACAGACGGACAAATTGTTCTGTGAATCAAATGGCAACTCTTTCTAGGGGACACGGTGGCGCAATGGGTTAAACCATTTTGCTGCTGAACTGCTGACTTGGAAGTTAGCAGTTCGAATCCGCGGGATGGGGTGAGCTCCCACTGTTAGCCCTAGCTCCTGCCAATGTAGCAGTTCAAAACATGCAATAGTGAGTAAATAAATAGGTACCGCTTCAGAGGGAATATTTAAAGAGACATCAAAGCTGTCTTGCCGGACACACAACCAAGAAGTGACAATGCAGGCATCTCGGCTTAAAAATGGAGAAAAACACCTCTCCCAGAGCCAGAGACAAACACTACCTCCAGAAGCCGGAAATGAAAGGAGAAGCCTTTGCCTTGTCTGTGTTTGTGTGTCTCATTAAGGCACTGAATGCTTGCCTATGTCTACTATAAATGCTGAGTCACCTAGAGGAGAAAGGCAGAATATAAATAAAGAGTATTATTATTATTATTTTCATTGTTTCCCCCTTTTTGGGTGAAATTGTCCACATGCTTGTGTATTTCAATGGCTTCTCTGTGTCGTCTCAGCAAACAACAACTACCTCTATGCAGATACCCTCACTGATGGGAGTCTACAGCTGCAAGGCTTCTCAATGTCAATCAAGCTTGCTAATTGCAACTTTCACAGTTTTTTCAGACAGACCACAGTCCTTTTTCCCACCCTGGACATTATTCCACAGGTATATATACACTCCACTTGCCTGATTCCCAACAGACCTCTGAACAAACCTCTGAAGATGCCATCAGCCACAGATGCAAGTGAAACGTCAGGAGAGAATGCTTCTGAAACATGGCCATACAGCCCAAAAAACTCACAACAACCTAGTGATTCCACCCATGAGGACGTGATTCTTGCCCCTGCCTTAGAGTAACACAACCCACTGGTCAAGAAAGAGACCATCCTTCATGTCAGATCCAGATATGGTTTTCCTATAGGTTCAGACTTGCTACTCTTGGAAGGGTAGAGGGAAGAAAGAAAATAAAAGGGAGGGAAAAGAATGTGAAGGGCCAATGAGAGAAGTAAACAAAGAAACACACACAGAGGAAAAACAGGGGGTTGTAGAAAAAGGAGAGAATGACGACTGAGTCATGGGGAAACTAGCAGCGGACGTTTGGGTGGGTGGGCAGACAGGGGACATGAAAGGTTGGCCCTCCCAGTCCAGTCATTGGGATGACTCTGCGTACTTGGCAGCCCACGGGTGTCATTCATCGCCTGCCCAAGAGAGAGGCAGGAATGGCACATTTCTGGGTGCTCCCCACAGCCACAGACAACCTGCACCACTAACCGGCCCCCCGAAAGGATAGCAAGGGAGAAAAAGGAAGGTCCTTCCAGCATTCTAGACCTTGAGGAACATGGGACCACTTGGTTGGCACCGCTCCCACCGCCCTCCCAGGCAGTCTCAGGACCACTTGTCCGAGCAGCATGGACTCCCATGCATTTGATCTCAAGTCCGCCAAAAGAATGTTCCAAAAGCCTTTTCTTCTAGGCCCGATTACCTGCTCCTGAATGGTCAGTGGCTCGTCCAACATGCCAAGGGTTCCAAGTGCCCATGCTTAAGAGAGTCACATATAGAGAGATCGATGCACAACATATATATGCCCGTTCCCAGGGTCCTACCTGAAGTAGCAGGCCATGACAGGGAGAAGGAGTACATATCTCTCCTCAGTTTAAAATTCTAATATATTTTATTCTTTAGCAATTTGTGAAGGAGGGTTGATGGGAAAGTTTGAATTCTGTGCCCCTCCAGTGACGGCCAATCACACCCTAAGATAATACAAAGTGGAAACTTTCCCAGCAATGGATCACAAAAAGCTGGAAAGAATAAGAGGGCCACGGGTAGCACAGCAGGTTAAACCGCCAGCTACAGAAAAATATTTTCTCCATTTTCAAGCTTTGTCACCTCCTGGTCATGTGTTGGTCGAACTGCTGAACTGAAGGTTGGCAGTTTGAATCCACAAGATGGGGTGAGCTCCCATCTGTCAAGTCCTAGCTCCTGCCAACATAGCAGTTCGAAAACGTGCAAATGTGAGTAGATAAATAAGTACCACTTCGTCAGGAAAAGGCAAAGAGACGCTCCAAGCAATCTTGCAGGACACATGACCAGGAGGTGACAACGTAGGCTCCTCAGCTTGAAAATGGAGAAAAGCACTTCCCCAGAGCCAGAGATGAGCATCACCTCCAGAAGCCAGAAATGAAAGGAGAAGCCTTTGCCTTTGTTTGTGTTTGTCTGCCTCATTGTATATGATTGTAACGGCATTGAATGTTTGCCTACGTAAATGCTGTAATCCACTCTGAGTCCCTTTGGGGAGAAGGGCAGAATATAAGTAAAATTTATTATTATTATTATTATTATTATTATTATTATTATTATTATTCTGGGGAAATGAAAGGAGAATCCTTTGCCTCTGTTTGTGTTTGTCTGCCTCATTGTATTAGATTGTAAAGGCACTGAATGTTTGCCTATGTAAATGCTGTAATCCACTCTGAGTCCCTTCGGGGAGAAGGGCAGAATATA